GCCCCCCCCCCCCCCCCCGGTTGGATTTCGAGGTCATATTGCAACACCAGTTTATATGGAATCTAAATAAAGTAAAAAAGGTTAGCCTATAAATCTATAATTGATGTTTGGTTGATCCACCTGTCGATCCGATTATTGATCCAACATATGGACATGGTCATCATCATTATATGCTAGTTAGGCAAGCAATACGAAAGTTTCATAATGAAACTAATGATATTCTAACTCCGTCACATGTACAATGCTCATATGCTGTAACCAAACCCAACATTGCAACCAATTTCCACTATATATATATATATATTTTTTTTATGAATGATATATGTATTTTTCTTTGTGAACGAACCTATAATTTATTTTTAATTTCTGAACAATGATTTGTGCTTTGCCGGAGTGGACATGTTATAAAATCTTGTTTCTGGTCGACAAATAGGTACGCGAAATTGTAACATCCACTCACTCGGACAAGCTGGAGAACGAGGTGTTAGGAACATATCTACGCTTGACACATTAGCCTCAAGATGTTCGGACATGTTCTTTTATTATTTAAATCCACTGATTGACCAGACCATACTTCTCCATACAATCTAGCACATAAGAAAAGAGAAAATGAGGGATGAGTAAATAGATTGTTCAGAGACAACTATAGAGCAGTTTCTCTGCATAAGCCACTATAAGACTCAATACAGAATAAGAACCGAGTAGTTGCATACAACAATTCAATATTAACAACATCATAACACGTCAATATCATTCCATAACATTATTATCATCAAGTACGGAATTCCACAGTTACGGCTCTCTAGACCTTCCCGCAAAGTCCATATGGTTTCCTCCGACACTAACCACATGCATCTCTTTACGTGACTACCTGCTTATATACTTCTGGCTCAACAAGCAAGTCCACCCCAAGGTCATTGTAGTTACTTATACCTAGATCGTCATACATCACAAAGTTTCATACATACTCAATAACATTCATTCTCGTTAACTGGTTTATTCTATTCATCTAACAACCTAGTTTGTTCAGTCCTTTATCACAAAATATCATCAAGGAATCCATCATATCAACACAAATCAGTCCATTTTATTCATTTAACAATACATACGTTCTTATGCAATATTCAGCATGGATCTAACAACCTAACCTAACATCATTCATGGAAGCTAATAAATCCTAATCCAGCATCAAGCAATATACAGAATCAAAAGAGGAGAACTTGCTTTTGAAACCACCTAATCTAGATTAGAGATGGACGAGTTCTTGATCTGAAGAAGAAATAGATCTGAAACACATATGAAGAACAAGAAAAAGAAAGAAGAACCGGGACAACGATGATGAACAGCAGCTAAATCCGATCTTATACATAAAATGACATACATCAAACTACCCACTGCAGAAGCATATGGAACCTCACCATGTCTTCTAGGGCTGGGTTTTTAACCGAACCCGAGGACCCGACTCGAAACCAATCTGAAAAAACTAGGATCCGAACCGATCTTTTTACCTTATTGGGTATTGTTGTGAAGGACATGTGGGTCTTGGGCCTGACATGAAGCCGAGACCCGACAGAGTACCTAAAATACCCAAAATTTCTAGTATATATTAGGTATATATGAGTGTATTAGTATATTTTTGGTATTATGGATATTTTTCCTAAGTTTTTAAATTTGGATTTTCGGGTATGATTTTGGGTTTTAGGTAAAATTTTAGATTCTCGAAAATATAATTTGGATAAACGGATAAAAGTTCAATACTTCTCATGTCTTCTGATGAGAATTTTGGTAAAATTTCAAATATTTTTAAGTATTTAAATATTTTCAGGTAGTTTTTGTATGTTTTGGGTATTTTTTTTAGCTGGACCCAACATAGCCCGAGCTGAACCCGATCCGAAACTAAATTGATCCGATAAATTCTAATTACTTTTTAAAGTTTAACTATTTAAGACCAAAACTGACTCGGATCCGACAAGACCCAAACCGACAAATTCTAATTATCCTATTGGATCTAAATATCTAAAATTCGGATCCGATAAGACCCGAACCCGACCCACAAACCCGAATACCGAGGCTAATGTCTTCCTTCTCAACATATGTATTCAGACTTTGTTGACCACTTAATATCAAGTGTGAAACTGAAGGAGTTCTCAACACCAGATTCTTCATGTAAACTGTTTAAGTACTTCTCAATGTATTTTTCATGAGATAAGTGAATCAGCTTCTCACTCGAATAATTCTTATACCGAAACTTTGTTTCATTAGACCCAAATTATTCTTGGTAAAGGACTTACTAAACTGCTCAATCATTTCCTACATTCTGATCATATTCCTCCTCGTAAACAACATATCATCCATATAATAACAACAAAAAATGATAAAATTATCCTAACCAAACAGCTTCACGAATACAACCAGTCACTGCATAATCATCAATACTATTAAAGCAGAAGCACATTTTATCTATTCGCAAGTAGTCTTAGTTAAAACATTATAATTATTTAATTTTATGTTATGCTACATACAACAAACTTAGTTATTATTAAATAAACACATAATATTAATATAATATTTAAATATATTCAAAATAAGATAACAAAAAGATATTCTTAATTACTTTTTCAGATTACATTTTAACAATATCTTTAATATATTTTATTTTAAAAATAAATATTTATTGTTTAATATTATTTTAATAATAAAATGTAAAAAAATATTAAATTAAATTACAAATGAGTATTAAAAAATTTTGATTTGTAAAATAAGAAATAACCTTCTATAACATTTATATATAAATATTTCATATTTCTAACTAAAAATTACACAGAATAATAATTATAGTATAAATTAATCTACTTTATAAATTATAAACTAAATGAATTACATTTACAGAATAACAAAATACTACCATAAGATATTAAAAAAAGAAATAATTCTATATTTTAATATACATATCTAAATTAAAACATTAGGATATAAAAACTAATATTTAATTATATGTTACTGATACACGAAATAATAATAAACAAATTTTTCAAACATTCGCCAATACTTAATAATATAATTATCATAGATAAAGTCTTAAAATCATATATATATATATATAATTTTATAAAATAAATATTAATAATAGCTACTATTAATATTTAATTATATGATGAAACATGTTATTACTGATATTTCTATGATTATAATTTTACGGGTTATTCCAATAAACAGATAAAATATTTATCAAATATAAAATTAATTTAACAAAATATAAAACATAATTTATGTTATGCTTGGAAGTTCAAGTACTTATTGGAATACGGGTCGAATATTTTAAATCAAAACTAATTTCTATCACATCATATGTGCCATAATTTGTAAGTATTCATGTTTGTAAGACCATCAACAATGGTTTCAACACCCTCATTTTCCCCTTTTTACATTCCACATCATCTTCTCTTTCTTCAACCTCATTTATTCAACACCACTCAATTTAAACCTCTACAATGGTTTGTTTTAAAAAATTCAATATTCTATCCCACAACTTTTAATTCATAGTATTTTATTTTTTATAATAGAATAATTACATATTAATAATTAACTTAAAAAATAATATAACATAACTTTTAATAATATTTATTTTGAATTATTATACTTAATTAATTTTTAAATGCTACCAAAATAAATATTAATAAAACTTTGGAAATTAAACGGAAAATTAGAAGAGTTTTGAGTGTTAAACTAATTATTATTAGGATCCATTTAATAAACAGGAAGATTAAAACACTAAAATAGTTGATTATAATGAAAAATGATGTTTTTTTCTGTATCCAAACAAAATGAGAGTGGTCTCTATTTATAGAGAAAACAAAATCTTGAATTTTGATATAATTTTTTTTAAATAATTTTATCATAAAATAAATGCGTTTGAATTATTGGGGAGGGATAAGAATAAAAGAAAATTTGTATAGCCAATCAGAAGAGAGAGAATTTAATTTTTTTTAAAAAAATAATAAAGCGTGTCATCCCGTGCACGCGCCCCATAGGTTTCAACCATTCACGTCGCGACACGTGGCTGTCTGGGACCAGAAAAAAGAAGTTTCAACAGCTGAAACTTTCCAACGCATGTTGAATACGCGTCGATAAACATTAAAATTCAACACTCTCCCTCCACATTATTCAACTGTTGAATGGGGGTTTCAACACCCTCATTGCTCATGGTCTAAGTGTGGATCAGATTCAAATATAACACGTCGTGTTTGGTTCTAATTTGTACACATCATAAAACCGATCAAGTAACCATATATCGTTCGGATTTGGGTTCTATTGGTTTGGAAATCTAAAATCTAAAACCAAAAAAAAATACTTATTTTTATAGAATTGGATATTAAAGTACTTATTTAAAATTAATAATATTTAAAATTTAGATTATTAATTTTAAATATCATTTTAAAATAAATATAGAACTGAATATTTAAACTAGATATTTATGTTTCAAATATTTATATTTATGATTAATTTGGACATTCAGATTGATTCAGATTTTTCCACATTTTTGGGGTTTTGGGTTATTCGTTCATGTGTGGCTAATAACACTTTGATTTGGATATATTTTGTACCACCCTACAAAATTCATTCTGATATATTTTAGATTTTTGACCGGATACGGATCCAAGTTTTTTTTGTTTAGATTGAGTTTAGACGTCGAGCTATGAATTTTATGCACATGACTAGTTTATATAAAACAAAAATGCAGTCATATAAAATTTTCACCGAAAGATTATCCTACATTTTATAATGAAATTAATGAACTAAAAAAGTCTATCCCACATTTTACATATATAGAAAATGCGATTATATAAAGTTTGCATCAAACATAAATCTGCGCTTTGAAAGCGCGGATCAAAATAGAGAACAATCTAGTGTTCTCTTATAACAAACTTTAATTTCATATCCTCAAAAACATATCAAATAGTTAAGAAGAAACAGCTACTCATGGCAAGTCACCTTCCGTTGGTTTAAAAATGTCATGGGGCAAATTATTATACTATGTTGAAATCTGTATGTTGAAATCTATTACTGCATAAGTACGTACAGTAGAACCTCTATAAATTAATATTCGATAAATTAATAATCTCTGTAAATTAATAAATTTTTTCGATCCCAACTTGGGCCGGTTCAAAATTTAACACAAATTGATAAAATAATAAGATAATAATTTTTTAGAAAATTCTATGTACATATATGTTCCCATTAAAATCATAAATTAATAATTTATATTTATACATATTTTCTATAAGTAATAACTTATTATTATATTGTTTGTTTTATATTTACAATAGAATTTTCTTTATATTTTCTTGACCATATTTTTTATGTACATATATTTTTTATAAAAAATATGGTCATATATTGTTTGTTTTATATGTTTTATATTTTCTTTCTATAAGTAATAATTCTATGTACATATATTTTTTATATTTAAATTGTTGATGAGATTTAGTAATATTGTATCCAAAACCATATTTAAATTCTATGCAAAATCTATTATATACACCAAATAATATAAGAAATTTAATATAAATTTCCAATTTCAAAAAAAGATAATAAATATCTATACACTAAAATACAATATTTTCTTATTTTAGAATAAATATATCTTAAAATAAAAATCTAAATAAGAAAACTTTGGTAAATTAATTTCTCTATAAATTAATAACATTTCGAAGTCCCGACATTATTAATTTATAGAGGTTTAACTGTATTATGCGCAGATTTAATTGACTATTTCATGTAATGATACGTATATAAACTAGGTGTTGCTACTTAAAAAAACAAAAATAATTTTAAAAGTAATAAATTCGAAGTAATTTTTTTTTTCAAGAAATCTTAAGTAATTTAAGAACGATGACTATATAAGTTGGGTCAATGGCACTCCCAATAAGAAAATAATTCCACAGTTTTCTTAATTTTAGAAATTGGAGGGTCGGCCGAGCGAGCCAACCCTATGGGGGTTTCCAGAAATAATGTCGGCCATATGTCTTGATTGTGCCATACAGCACTCACCCTTTTAATCTCAGGCTGAGCGTGGCATAAATAGCCATCCGACCCTTTTTTTTACTTTTCAACGTTCAGGCCCATCTCATTTATATACAATCCCTTCTCTACCTCTTAACTCTCCTCTTCCCGATGTGGGACAAAAACAAACATAACCAACACGATATTCTAATTCTTTATTTTTTAAAACGTTTGAAATGGAATACTTTGATCTTATTATTAACAAAGTAAATGTCTTCAACGATATTCTAGTTCTTCTCATATATTCACAAATTAAAATTTTGAAAAACGTTCGAAATATAAATTTTCTTACCTTGATCAGATTATTAGCAAAGTAAGTGTGTTCATTATATCGTATCTTACTCTATAGTATGGGATCTGGTTACAAACCCTGAGACAGAAATAAGATAATGAAGAGTTAGAATTTATGCATAGGGTTTCAACATCCATCTCAGCTTCTCTTCTCCACTCAATAGAAATATCTCTGACAATTCATCAAAAAATTAACAAGAGACTAAATCCCATACTAGCTCTCATTTGCCATCATTACTCGAGCTATATTATTTGTGAAGAACTTTATTAGTTGATTTGAATTTGCAAGATCTTGAAATAGTTCTCCATAGCTGCTTTGTTCAAGTTTTACCAAATCATCGAAACTCCAAGATCGTGCAAAGACTTCCCAATATCAAATCAATTAAAAGATGATAATAATTTGATATCATGAGCCAATCTAAGAAAACATACAACAAAAAGAAAACCAAAGTGCTAAGAAACAATTTTGTCCGAGCAAAAATGTTAAAATAAAAACTGAAGGTATTGCGTGTGGCAAATCCAGAAAGATACTAAGCAGCTTTCGGTTTAGGAGTCCTCTTCAGATTCCTCTTGAGGGGTGTTGAGTTCTTCATTCCAATAAAGAAGAGTAATGCTCCAAAGAGTGCAACGCTCTGCAGTAAGTAACAAAAACGAGTGTTGAATTTCTATCTAACCATTTGTCCAGATTCTTGAAAATTAGAACAATTGACAAAAAAAACAATTCAGGACAAACCTGCAAGAACTCAGTCAACAATGGAGAGAAGTGACGTTCCTGAGGTCCGTAGTTGTAGAAATCATACAGAATAGGACTGACAACAACCAAGTAGAAAGCCTGAACACAAACAGAATAAATGAGATATATAAAGGGTAAACTCTAGAATCACTTGTATTTGTAGAAGAGTGATGAACAAGAAGAAACCAATACCAAAAGATAAGCACCGAAGATGTTTCCGATAATAAAGAGTAAGCCTCCAACTCCTTTTAACGCAACTATAGCAACAACTACTTGTTTTACCTAAATACAAAATGATTATTCATGTCATACAACACACACACATAAAGAGATAGACAGAGAGAGAGAGCACAAGAGAGAAGAACATCATAACTACCTCAACGCTTGGCAAAGTTACACCTAATCTAGAAGATAGATGTGACTTGGCTAGATGAAGCTTTGGAGCCAACTCTTTAGCTGCAGGACCACCATCAACTCCAAACTCATTGAACCTAACAAAAGTCACCAAAAGATGATGTTTAACTAGCTTCATAACATACTGTCATTAATTGATTAACAAACACTCAAAACTTTGATTAAAAATTAGCAGTAACAGCATCAAAGTAAACATATCAAGAAGTCACCGAGACCTAAGGTTCAACAAACATTTACAAAGTGTATTCAAAGCTCGATGTACAAATCAATTATTTACTATGAGATCCAGATCGAAACATAAGATTGTTTTATTCGGCTAAGCATTCTATTTCTAGAAACCCTTTACCAAATCGAAAGAGCATAAAAAAGACTTTCTATTCCATATTAGTTCTATTCAACACAGATCAACGCGAGAACAGAGGATAAAGGAACAAAAAGAAAACTTACATTTGCCAAGCGGAGAGGATGAAGAGGGAAGCGAAGAGAACTCTTCCAAGAAACGAGAAGAAACCCATCTCTCTCTCTTGTTCAAGCTCGCTCGTAGATTTGTCAACGTAGAGAACGAATCTTCTTCACGTCGGCCAGAAGGAGGAGCTTTCTTCTGGTCTTTGAGTCTTATTTTATATTCTAAAACCGTATTGGATTTTATTTACGCTAACTACCAACCAAAAACTGCCTTCCAGATCTAATTAATCGTTGAATTTACTTTTTCCGACAGACAAACCAACAGCGAGACTAGTCTTAATTACATGTTTTAATTACATTACATGTATTTTGTCGGTATAGTAAATGTTTTAAGAAGACACTAGATTTTGATCCGCGCGGTTCGCGGACGTTTGTTTTCGTTTATAGTTAGTTATATAAACATTTTTGTTTTCACTTGTAAATTGGTATATATCATAGTAATCACATATTTACGATATGTATAGTAAATGTTTTTCAAATATAATAATATTATATAATACGATTTTAATCAAATAGATTATTTCAAATTTTCTATATTATACATGTTTTTTCAAACATGTGTGTGTTTCTTCTTCTATATTTTATTGTTTGTTAGATTAGTATTTCATTTTTAGATAAATTAATATAAATAGAGCTTGATTAAATATTAGTATACTTTAATTTTCAAAGATAATATAAACTTCGAATTTTATTTTTGCTAAAAACTAAACTTATAGCTTCATAAATTAATATTAGAAAGAATTTTATTAAAAAAGATTTTTTAAAAAAAATTTTAAAAACAATATAATTTTAAAAGTTTACATCGAAATAAATTTTACCTAGTATATATAACGTGTAAACTTTGTTAGGGTATATAAATTTTCCATATTACGAATATGTGATTTTTGTTAATATATTGTAGATGCATTTAATTATTATTGACATATTCCTTTATAAATAATAGAAGATTTCTAAACTTATATTGTTTGACATATTTTGCGTGACTAAGTTGGAAGGTATGAGATAATTTACCAAAACAAAATTGTTAAGCGTATATTTTTTACTATAGATATGATTTTTCATAAGATATAATAATGATTAGATTATTAGAGAGTTAATGTAACATGATTTTCTAGTAATAGTCCATTTTAAAAAAAATCACACATGAAGTCAAGTCATGACTTCTGTTTTAATATATAAGATAAAGTCTGGTGGTTGAGTCCAGTTTGTTTTCTAGTGCAAAAGCTTACTAAATATCAATGTAAAAGAATTAAACAAATGGGGATGTAGCTCAGATGGTAGAGCGCTCGCTTAGCATGCGAGAGGTACGGGGATCGATACCCCGCATCTCCACATTCTTTTTCTTTTGCCTAGTACTTTCCTTTTTCTAAAAATTTCACTCTTCCAAATTGATCTCAGTTGATACTTTGAATCTTCTTCTTACAGCTTTACATCAACACATCCCACAGCTTGTTCAACATGTTACATACAGCCACGATGAGATCTCCGGTTTCAACAAGTTACAGTCACTACTTTCTAAACACATTAAACGGATCCTACAGAGACTTAAATTCATTTCTGTCTTGTCTTTAACTGATTATTAATACACAAATATTCTATACCGATTTGACATAAATCGGAGTAAATGAGGAGTGCCTACCGCCTAGGCTTGGTTTGAGTTTAACTAGTTCTGTTTTTTTTTTTCTTTCTTGAAACACACTTCAGTTTTCTTTCTTTTATTATATAGTAGTTACTAACTTTCTCGCCTTAAAAGTGGATTTTTCAGGATTGATGCTTTGAATCTTCTTGAATTTGTTTTTTTCAACCTTCTTGATTTTTCTTCTTACAAGTTAGAGAGACATCTTTCTCGAAGACAGATACATATCAAGTTAACAATCACAATGGCTTATATTTCAAAAAAAAAAAGATAACAGTCACAATGACTTTGTTAAAAAAGATATCTATAAATAAATGGGTTACATAGAAACCTCAAAACATCCACACTTATCTTCGATCAGACGATCACCTATCTCTCTAATCGATTTTCTACCCGACTCTTTTTCTTCTTCTTTGAATTTTCAAATCAACAAAAAACAATGACAGAAAAAATGGACATGCCAGCTTTTGTCTCGACGAAAGCAGGCGTGAAAGGGCTCGTCGATGCAGATATAACAGAACTTCCTCGAGTCTTCCATTATCCTTCTTCTTCTCTATCCAACAACAAACATTCTGATATCTCTGGTTTAAACCTCACCGTTCCAACCATTGACTTCGGAGAGATAAACAACGAAAGAAATATCATTGTTTCGAAGATCAAAGACGCAGCTGAGAACTGGGGATTTTTCCAAGTGATCAACCATGGTGTTCCTTTAAGTGTTCTTGAAGATATCAAACAAGGAGTTCGAAGGTTTCACGAAGAAGATCCTGAGGTGAAGAATAAGTATTGTTCTAAAGATCTCAACAAGAGATTTGTTTACAACAATAACATCGATCTCTATAGATCTTCTCCTATGAACTGGAGAGACTCTTTCGTTTGCTACATTGCTCCAGATGCTGCAAGTCCAGATGAAATCCCAGTAGCTTGCAGGTAAAGAAAAAGTTAAAAAAGTTTCCGTTTACGGTTTTGGTTTTAAGGGTGCCTTTTGACACAAAAAGATTTTGAACTTTTGATGAAACTTCTGATTGGTACGGTTTGGTTTGGATGCAAGGCGGGTTCAGTAGATAATTTATGAATGAATTGTTTTTACATGTTTAATTTTCTTATAATTAGTTCAATGAGTCAAGGTGTGTGAATTTTTAAACTGGAAAAGACTTTAGTTATATAAAAACATACAGTTTTTTAAAACGCTAATTCATGTAATTTATATTTTATACATCATGAACCTTAAATAGATATAACAATTTTTTTACATTATCAATAACAATTTTTTTTCTTATTTAAAATTTATTTTCAGTTTTTTTGGGTTTTCTATTTGAAAGCTCAACATAACAAAACACGTCACATTATTCCGTTAACTATCATAAAAAGTAATTTCAAAATATATTATATCCTAGGAGTCATAAAAAGAGAAAATTATCCGATTAGTTTCATAGTAATAAATAATATATACATCATATTTTTCATTTTATATTCTTATTGAAAAGTAATTCAGCTATATAACAATTTCATGGAAAAATATATAATAGAGAAGAAAATCATTTGTCTATAATAACTACTAGGATAAGACCTGTGATAATAGGAGTTTTTAGATTCCTATTCAAATGTTATAGTATAAAAGATATCGAACCAAATCTAAGCAATCATAAATCAAAGGGACTACAAGGCAAAACTTAATCTAAGTGCTATCAATATTAAGATGGTTTTTAAAGTAAGAGAATACTAAATAAGCAATAAAGATCAAGCTTTCTTTCAAAATGAGAAGATGGAGC